CCAGCCAGCAAAGCTGGCTGGGGAATTCTGGGAGTTGAAGTCCTCCAGGCTTAAAGTTGCCAAGGTTGGACACCCCTGATTTAGGCCTTGGGTAAATAGTTGCTAAGAGCCCAATTCTACTCTGCCAAGGCACTTTCTTTGAAGCTCATTCTCATTCATAAACCCCTTCCCCCTCTGAGAATTTTGAGGATCTAGTAAGGGAAAGTTAATATTCTCAGGTACCTGTTTCCTTGTACTGTATAAAGCGTTACAAACTATAGAAGAGAATAGTTCTCCCTATATTATGGCATTTATTTATTAACTATATATCCCATCTTTATTCTGAATAAGTCAAAGCAACATAAACAGTGCACACTCTCCTATTTTCTCCACAACTCAGAAAGCAAATGAGCTGGGCTGAGAGTACAATCGACCCGAAGTAACCCAGCTCCTGTGCCTAAAGAAGGGCTAGCATTTATGGTCTTAGTTTCTAGTGCTGTATCTTAACCAAACCGACTCTCGGTTTGGGCTGAATCTTGCAACGATGTACTTTTACATTCATTAAAAGGGGTGGGTGGGCGCAATAATCTTGTCTTAATCCGAAATTTTGCAAATAATGCTTGTTCCCCTGCGGCAGATAAATCCAGAGACCTCCTAGTTCATCCTTGCTTTCTCTACATAACGCCCGACGCATTTTCTTAGAGAAAGCTCCTCTGAAATTAAGGGGGGGGGGTCTTATTCCCATTCTGGCAGACCACAGTAGCCTATGCGCCTCGCGCGTCCCCCACCCCGGGGAGATGACGTCAGAGGAGAGGAACCGTTGAGCTGCTTTGGAATCGTGGAATTCCAGCCGCTCCGGTCTCCGCCAATCCCAGCAGCCCACGCCGCTTTTCCTTTCCACGAGTGCTGCTGCTAACATCTTTCCTCGGTGGGATTACCTTTGCGATGCCCCTGAAGCTGCCGAAGCTCCTGCTCCGAGAATCCGGCCCAACCCCCTGCCATAGTGCCTCCTCCTGGCCCACTCCGCCTTCCGCTGCCACGTCTCCAAAGCCCGCCCCGCGTCTTGGGAAAATCCGGCCTTCCTTGAGGCCTCGCGCGGTTTGCTGGGCGTCTCTATACACGTGCAGTCATGGGAACGAAAGGCATATCTCTACTTAGCGGCCTCGCCTCGCTTTGGGTGGGGCGCCATATATTTATTTGCTGCTCATCTCCGAGGCAGCGATTTCGGTCCGCCTGCTGAGTCACCGAACGGGAGCGCGCCGCCGAGTATCTGATTGCGCGGCGGTGGAGCGCAACCCTGTCGCTTCTAAACTCTGGTTGGTGGTGCTAGTTTGAACGTGAGCTTGCAAGTACCGAGGTCAAGAGGGCTTAGGACCATGCTTACGCGGCCCAATTTTTCCCCATTCACAGAATACACTGGATTCACCACACCTGCTTCCCTTCAGTTCCATTGCTACCAATGCGGCTAGTAGTTGGTGGCTCAGTGTGTCACGTGGATGTAAACCCTTGTTCTGGAAGAAGAAACGACCCCGGGAGTGGCTGCTTGTACTGGATCGAAGAAGAATTTTAAATACACAAACCCTTTGGGAAGCTGAGGGACTGGTGTATAAAATGGTTGGGCGGAAAAAGTCCCACCGAGATCACTGAGGTGCAATAAAGAAAAATAGCGGCTATGACAGGTGCACTCCTGGACTGCGGCTGGAAACCTTGCAATGTTATGCTGCAAAATGACATTTGGGCTGAATTTCATCAGTTTCCATCATTACATTATGCATTAAAAATAGGGCAAAGCTGGGTTTGTTTGCATCAAAGATGCATTCTTCAAAGATGCTGCATTATTTTATCGCAGGCTTAGTGTAATTTCTGAATTCACTAATTATAAAATAGATGCAGGTAACACATTTATTTTGAATATCAGATGGAATTCTGCCATAAATTTGAAGTCATCAGTCCTTCCTTCTTTCCTTCTCCCTCCCTCCCTCCTTCCTATGTCCACACATGGAATAAGTTGAAGAATATTTCTCTGTCTTCTGCTTTGTTTTATACATATACATACACATACATACATATATTTCCCACTACTATATTCCAGATGCTAATTTATTTCCAACTTTAGCATTCCTTTCTCATAATTAGTATGATGTATTTAGGTGCTACAATTTACCATAGCACTATTCAACTTCTGCTTTTTCTGCATTTCTGGTTGGAATAACACCATACTGTATGACTGAGCGACTTCACTTGGATTCAAATTGAAATTGTTTTATCGTATTTAGATTTTGATACACTCTTGTTAAACATTATGCTATTCCACTTATATGACTTTCGTGTCTGCAAGAGAAGATTTTATTCTCATCTGATATTTATGGCAAAAATGTTTAATTTCTCTTTGCCTCTGGGCATTATAATCAGTTGGATTTTGTGTTTTAATCCAGCCACATCATAAGCCTTTGTGCTACTTCTACTTGCCTTCTATTCTCCACCCAACAACTTCTAATCTGGGATGATGGTGAATGTGATTTATTTTTCAGTATCATGTTGTCATTGTGCTGATTGTGAATGGATTTGGATTTCTTGATAGACTTCTGAAGTTGTTTGACACTTCTAGTGGACTGTGTTCAGTCTTATCTCCTGTCTGTGACAGGTCATGAATTTTTTTATAAATATACACTCCCAGTGGTACAGCTCATAATGTCATTAGGAGGTAGAAGCTCCTTGATCGCTACAAGGTCAGGATCTATGAAGGGGACATCAGAGGTAATTTATTTCTAAATGTGCAGCTCTTTGAACATTTACTGGAAGCAATCATCTCAGAGCATAGGTAGGTTTATTTTGAAGGAGACACATGATGAGGGTGCAAGATAGCTAGTTAAATATATTGCAGGTCCATATAATTATGACTTCTAGATAGCAATGCAAAACTATAAATACTTGTGTGTTTAGCCTGATTCTGAAATACACATACTTGGAAGTAAACCTGACTGAGATTGCTTCAATCCTGTGAACCTTCAAATTTCCCTCCCCCTCTCATCAACATGTACAAGATCAAACTGTTATAATAATCCAGCAGGCTACAGCATAACTAATACTGCTTATGCGGCAATGTGGATCTTAATCATATGCCATCATGCCCTTCACAGTTGCACACTTGTCAGATCTGTAAAGGATTAGCAGAGGCTCTAAAGTTCTGCCATCAGAGACCTTTGAGGAATATTCATAACTGAATGACCATGTATAATCCCTGAGATTTATCTCTGAAACATTTTAACAGCTTCTGCATGACTAACACAACCCATATGTACATTCACAGTACTTTATCCTCAACAGAGAAAGAAGGTTCTGGCAGTCACACTCAATATCCTAATTACATGGTGGATATATGTTTACTTGAAAATAAGGCCAATTGATTGCTTAGAATTGTAGGTTTTCAGTCTATGCAATGTGTGTCTACTTAGAAAAACAGCTTGTTTATACTTTGTGGGGTTTTACTGTCAGATGAGCACAGTCTCAAAAATGATTTGACTGTTCCTGTTTCTAATTATTTATCTGACTGCGGATTATATTGATAGTTGATTGAGTAATACTGATTCTGTCCTAAAATAAAAATGTAAAACTCACACTGTGTAGTGCTAGGTTTATTGCTCATTTTTCTATTAATTTTCTGGGTTAGTTTATGATCTGTAGGAGCTGATGCAGTTTCAACTGTAGATTTGTTCACTTGCATGTGGTAAAGAAATAATGTTGTACTTGACATATTATTGCATTCCAACTTGTCTGTAAATGGTGAGGGTCAAAGACAATGGTTCAGCAACAATTAAAGAGCCTCCTTTTATTTCTGTTATTGTTCAGCTATTTCTGATTGTTGTGACTTGATTGACAATTTACCAGCATTGTCTGTCAGTAACTGTTTCTTTGAGTTCTCGTGAGCTAATGATCATGTCATCTGTGATAATATCTTTGCACCTGCTCTTCTGTTGGCATCTTTCTTTAATTGCCTTTGATTTTTCCTTGAATCAGGATTTTCTTCTTTTGCATTCTTATTACATATCCAAATATTGAAGCTTTATTAGTGCTTCCAATAAGTAGTCTGGTTTTACTTTATCTTATATAGAATGATTTGTTGTCCTTACAGTTGTCCTCATATCTTTGTTGTCAGTGTGATACTCTCTGTGTTGTTTAGATTTAGATGTTTCTTTATTTTAAGGCTGTCCATGAATGTGTGAACCTAGGAAGTTAGACATCTTAACTATAATCACTTTCTTCATCTATTTTTGGTAGATTAGCATTGCCTTTTGGTGTAATCTTAGTCGTTGAGTTTTTAAATGCTAAGCAGCAGATTGCTTTTGCATTCTCTTATTGTTGCTTAAAAGACATTTGTGAAATCTTCATCATTTCTGGTCATTAAAATGCAATCTCTTATTTAATGTTCTTGATCTTTATTCCATTGTTTAAAATTTCTATTTTGCCTAATTTAGCCTTTCTTATGATATGTCCAGCAAATAGTTGTTGGCGCCCTTTTTCCCATATACTGTATATTTCCCATATATACGCTATACATCTTATTTTAACTATTACTATCTTGTCTTCATATGCATTCTTCAGCCTGGCATACTCATGTATCTAATGTGCTGTGATTTACCCATTTGAAAGACATTGATTAATCAAGAAACAGAAATAGATGTCCTTTTGAAATTCCCTTACCTTTTCCATTATCCATTAGGTATTAACAGTGGGATCTCAGGTGCCTCTTTCTCTTCTAAAGTCAACTTTCATGGACTTGATATACATTTCAGGCAGAGGTTATGATGCTTGGCAACCTCATTCATGTGGCTCTATTATAGTTCTATGCATTCTGTAGGTGTACAAGGCACAGTTTTTTCCCCCTTTCATCATGTTAATTTCATCACAAGTGAATGTTGTTGTGTACTGGGTTATTATTGTTATTGGATGATTAAGTATGACTGTGATTGTGTATTGCTACTCAGTTACCTTGGCTAGACCATATCTGTTGTAATTCTTACAGAGTCAGTGGTATTAGTTCTTCTAGAAGTTTTAGTAAATCAAGCAGAAGAATAATCTATTGTGTAGATAAGCAACAATAAATTAGGATTGGGAAGAGGCTTCTCAAGCTACAGTAAAAACAAGCAAGCAAAAGAAGAGTTTACTGGTTGCACTGTGTAAAGTTCCATTCTCACTGTGAAAATGTTCCCTGGTGCAAATTGTGAGTCAGACCATGGTTAACTGCCAAGGTAAAGTTCATGTGCTACAGAGTCAAACGACCACTCATGATTCAGAATTTTAATGTCAAAAAGATTCCCCCAGCATATGTAGTTGAAGTTAAGAACAGATCTGAACTGTTCAACATCACAGAAAGACAACCAGATGAGCTATGTGAAGAAATAAAAACAACCATAGTTGAAGTAGCCCAATAAAATATTACATACAAGAAGCCAACAAATTGGCCAGTTGAATATCAGAAACTACAATAGCGACTGCCATTGGTGACAGGGAAGACATGTGAAGACTAAATGCAAAGTTCCACAGAAAGAAAAGATAAAAGTACTGAGCTGAGCAATGTAAGAAACTAAAGGAAGCAGCCATGAGGTCATACAAGAGCCCTCACTTACGTGAGGAAGGCCAAAAACCCCTTTATGGCAAGAAAGGCTACAGACAAAGGATGTAATGGGAAGGAATTGCATGTCTAATAAGCACTCAGAGAAAGATGGTGGGAATATGCAAAATAACTTTACACAAACAAAAAACAAGAACAAGCCTTAAGAGAAGCTGACCTACTAGAAACAGAACCAGATATCTTGGAGGAGGTGGGCACTCAACCTCAACTTTGCCTGACTGCAATGCCCCAGGAGTTGATGGAATTCCTGCAGAGTTGCTGAGACCACTGACAACAAAAGCACTGACAACACTTTGCCAAAGTGTATGGAAGTCTGGTCAGTGGCCAAGGTATGGAAATGGTCGATATTTATCCCAGTACTGGACTTCTGGCTGTACTTC